CAGTAAAAGAATTAATAACTGCTTCTAAAGATAGATGATAGAAAGATGATAGATAGATAGATAGATAGATAGATAGATAGATAGATGATAGACAGACAGACAGATAGATAAATAGACAGATAATCAAGTGTTGCTTAGTGATGAAGATGCATCCTGAGAAATATGTAGTTAGGCAGTCTTGTTATGCAAATACCATAAAGTGTCTGACACAAACTCTGATAGCCTGGCCTACTATACAACAACACATACAGTAGAGCCCATCGGTCCTAGGGCCATGATGAAAAAAATCCACATACACAAGAGGGAATGATGCAAACATGAGATGCAATAAGCACAAGACATGGGAGGCTACTGCTGGCGTAGACAGAATCCTCTTGTAGGATAATTTTTTTAGTATAAATAGGAATACAAAATAAAATAACAGAAAATGAGAGCATAATAAAAGCATCACCCAGTCACAGGTCTTGTGTCATTTTCATGCATTATGTAGTGCACATAGTTATGTGTCCTATACTTTTACATGACTGGTAGCACAGTGGGTTTGATCACAGTGGGATCTCCACAGACATGTGAGTAATACATTGTGTTGTTAATGCCGCATGTGACTGTATCCTCACATTAACCTCCCAGGCTGGGACGCTTGCACATAGTAAGAGGAATTAGCAGTGGAATTGTTATTCTGTATGTCTTTGGCCCATCTGGCTAGCTTGAATGTACGCATTGGTCTCAGGTTTGTGAGACTGTAAGATGATCATAAAATGAGGTTCTTTTATGATATCTTCCTTGCAGGGGTGGAATGGTTCAAACCAGTGAGCAGTATGAATTTGTGCACCATGCGCTATGCCTCTACGAGAGCAGACTTTCAGCAGAAATTGTCCAGTGATTTGCCGAAGACTTACCAGACCATCTGTCTCCTGGGTGATTAATTAAACTGCCCCTCAGAGGCTGCTTGACACAGCTTCCTGCAATGGAAGAGGAGCTCTCAAGCCTATCTGTGGCATGGATTGTGGAAGGCCTGGCAACGTGTGCGAGGTTGCCAGCCCCTTGTGTATAAGAATGCACCTATACGCATCCCCCAAATCATGTTGAAGGTCCTAGCTGATGAGGTATGACAGATCTCCCACACCGCCTAAGGTGGATTGCATTTTGTCTGTACTATCCACCCTCCCAGAACATACATGTGTACTATTCAGTGGCAACTGTCATCAGGCGATGACTAGAAGAGCTGCCGAAGAAACCATTACTGTGTGTTTAGATGCTTCCATGTTTGCAGTCTGTCTTGTGAGTGGACGGCCAGGTGTTCACCTGTTCCTGTATTAAATGCTCCTACCTGTCTCAGTTAACAGAACCTTGCTGCTAGCACTGCAAGAGACTGATAATGGATTTTTAACCAATAAGTTTTTGTTTTTGAAAAAACATCAAAAGCAGGAACTATTTTATATGGAAATGTGTCTTGATAATATTATCCATTACATGTATATGTACAGTACCTCCTGTCAATCAATTACAGAGCACAATGATTGTCAATGGATATATATATATATGTATTTATTCTCTTATTAGGCATAGAGGTGGCTCCTGCTCCAGAACTCTATCTACTATATTTCTACATTGTGACTTGTTTTACTTTAAAAGGGAAAAACCAATTTGTAGCAACTACAAAGTATCACCAGTTTTAAATACTCGCCTCTCTTTTGCTAAAAAGGGATTTTTGAATATGCTACCTACCTGGAATCCCTCCCCCACCCAAAGGCTGATGCCTTTTGGGGTTGATGCCACCTGAATCTTCATAGGGACGCTGCCTCTTATGTCCTTATATTTCTGAAGGGGTTAAACCTCCAGAGGCAAGAGTAAAAAATAACTACACTCAGCAAACACCTCACTGTTCTGCTCAAGTCTGAATTTTTAAATGTAACGATGTTGACTTTGTTTCATACTGCCAATAAATGACTCTTACTACTAAATACTGAGCAAGTCTGTTCCTTTCCATTTCCATTTGGAAGCAGGCTATTATCGCTTTGGGGGAGCGTGAAGTAAGTAAGGTGACGGGTTTAATTTCAGTGTTCACAGCTGCCCAATGGGATGACCCCCTCAGAACGTACTGTCATTCCTTGATAATGGTCTAACACTGTCGTCATTATAAGGTTTCCCTCACACACTCCCATCCCATCATTATACAGTGTGTTTACGTCTTTGTAACACTTGTCACGGACCCTCATAAATCACCTGGTCTGCATAGATTCAGGAGGATCATATCACCTGGAAAGATGTAATGGTATGGGAGCATTCAATTACCGAAGATTACGATGCTTCCCTCTTGAGGTTAGGAAGTCATGAGGCAAAGATAGGGTAGGTGAGTAGGTGTGACGACTTTGAGAAGTTTTATTCCGTTCATTCCTCTGTTCCTGGAGGCTAGATCTACATTTTTTTTTTTTTTTTTTTTTGAACGAGGGAGGTAATCACAATCCCTTCTTTCTAAGGAAACAGACCAAAGGACACTGGTGTAAAACTTCCCCCAGACAATTCAATTGGAGGAAGTGCTCGTCACAGACTTTTCCCCTCACCACGAAGGCATATTTCCTTCCTAGTCTTTGCTTCTCTTATCTGGGAGAATTTTTTTTTTTTCTCCCCAAGCGAAGCGTGAACAGTTGTTAAGTGGAAAATGGAGGCTGAATTTTACATGGCGATTCTTACCTGCTTGATCTTCACGAGTTCGGGTGAGTGGGTCTGCCTCAGTTTCCTGAGGTCTTTCTCCAAAATCTGACTGAGGAGTCCTTTGACTTTTGAAAAAAATGCCTGAAGTGAGACCGAAATGGAACGAGGTCTCCAAGGCAGAGGAGCCACAAACAAGGAGGAGGGGGTGAGAGCAGGCAGCCGGGCCCACACTGCTGAGATTCCTCTCCAACAGCAAGTGGAGACCCCCGTGGCCCCCGGCAGCACGGTCCCTAAAGGGGTCTTTACAGCGACCAGTGAAGACCCCGGGGAGAAATGTTTTATTACTGTGCAGCAGGTTGTAGCCTCCCCCTGTGTTTTTTCAATCCAGGTTCTAGTTTTACTTTCTTTTGTGTCAAAGACAAAACCTTGAGGAGTATAATTTAAAAGGTGGGAAAATTTGTTTTAATTGGAAGTTGTCATGTGGAAAGGCTGAATATTTGCCTTGAGAGAGCTGAAAAATTTAAGTAAAAACTCATGAAATGCTTTATATGTTTAAATATCTCACTTTTCAATATGAATGTTTAACAATGGGGTTTAACTTTTTTTTTTTTTAAACACATTAAAGCCAGACTTTTTAAACCTGGTATTTCAGAGATATGTAGACATTGTCCCAAAATAAATACTGTTCTCCAAAACTCTAGAAAATTTGGTTTGACAATAGATCCTCTTCCCTTGCTTGCTCTTAGCTACAGATTATGATTAGAGGAGTGAGAAAATGTATTTTATGTTTAACTTGTAATACATGGAACCAGTTTTGAAAGTTTTGGCCAGACTACGTGGTTTGTATCCAATTACTTACTGCAATGTGAATTTAAGAATTGAAGGAGGACATTTTTTTTCTAGTAGTAGAAAAGGGGATCTGGAGTGTGTCAAGGGGTTAAAAAAGATACTAACATTTACACAACTATGGCCCATGTAATTAATTAGGCCAAGACATCATGCCGTATTCATTGGATGTGTCTTTCCTGATCCAAAGGAAAACTGTCTTCTTGGATGGTTTCGTTTCTTCTCCAAGCTTCTTTCTATTGTTCCAGTGGGTGTGTGTTTTTCTTTCCTAAGCCACCCAAAGGCCCACCAAAAACGTGGGAGATGGGATTTGCCCAGTGTGACATTTTGACATTTTTTTATTGTCAGCCTCAGGATTTTATTGTGTTTTCTCCCCTGAGATGTTAAATTATGTGTGCTGAATCTGGGAAATTATTAAAATGTAAATATAAGTACACCTAGGATTGTTTCTTGGCTGACTTGTGGGTGGGTAGTTTTGTTTTTAGTGGTCCTTATAATCTGCAACAATACTTTCTAAGCTTTTCATCTTCCAGAAGGGTTTCAGATTGTCCATGTCCAGAGACAGCAGTGCCTTTCCGTAAATCAGAAAGTGATCGTGGGCTCATGCAATGGGACCAGCCAGAACCAGCAGTGGCTGTGGACTCAGGACGGAAAGCTCCAGCACGTCAAGTCTGCTCTGTGTCTGGGGGTCTCCAGTTCCTCTGGTGGTCCTTCCCGAGCAGCTGTCGTCACCCGCTGCTCCCAGGCACCCCAATGGGCCTGCTATGAGCAGGAAGGGTTCCTTGAGATGGAAAACACTTCTTTCTTTCTCAAGAAACAAGGCCCCAAGGTAGTGGTCAAGAAGGGCAGGAAATACCTCCACAGCTGGATGAAAATAGAGGCCAATGAGAAGGGAAAACTGGTCAATGAAAGCCTCTGCCTAAAAAAAGGTGAGCTATTCCTTTCAAAATCAATTCTCAAAGTCCTTCCACTAAATGTCTTTAATCTAAATGTTTTTATTGTGAATTTAGTTCTCTATTAGAGGTTGGATTTAGGAAGTCATGAAAGATAGACTAACTGAATCAAAGTATATTAGTCACAAAAGACCTTCAAATCACTGGAGAAATTATCTAGCAATTATGTGCCTCACTTAGGGGAACGAACTTTGTCAAGGTTAAGTACATGGTTCCAGGTCACTAGTAAAATAGCTATGATTAAAATTACCAAAGTTTCTTAACTTGTGCAGTATATATTCCATGACACCTATAGTTCCCAAATGCATGACTATAGACTTTTGCCCAATGGTGGCATGAGAATCCCTAGAGGAGGCAGAATCTAGATTTGCCCATAATACTTGATGTCTTGACAAAGCTTCCTATATAATATGAGGCTATCAACCCCATTTGGGAATCAGCATCTACTTTTCCCATAAATCCTTTGTCTTAAGTTTTCCTTTTTGAGGATGGCAGTTTTCTGAAACTCATTTATCTCATTAAGCTTAACAATTAGATAGAGTCAGCTAGATATCTCAGCATTCTAAAGCACCTGCTTAGGCAAGTGCACAGGGACTGTGGTTTGATCCTTGGTACCATATACCATTCCATCTGGGGGTGGGCTGAGCCGGCCACAAGAAAGAAAGACAGAAAGACAGAAAGACAGAAAGACAGAAAGACAGAAAGACAGAAAGACAGAAAGACAGACAGACAGACAGACAGACAGACAGACAGACAGACAGACAGACAGAAGAAAATTGGATACCAAGTGAATGCAATGGGATCTTCCACAATGAAGGTTAAAAGTTATAGTTATAGTTCTTGTTCTTATATAATTCCCAGCTCTACAAAGAAGGTAAAGATTTAAAAGTCAGGTAGAAAATTTAACTTTATCAGAAAATGTTCAATATATGGCTCCTGTCCGCACAACTCATTCCCTATGGCTCATTTATCAAACAGCACAGAAACATTGTAAGTAGACCAGTTGTACTGCGATACACAGGAAGTAAGATGCTTGCCCACACCCTAGCAGAAGATTCTTAAATTAAAACTTTACCAAAAAATAGATATGGATCCAGTAGAGGGCTATTTAAGACGGAAAATAACTCATGAGCATACTATCTCTTTTGACATTTGACACTCATAGAAAACATATCCAGGGATGGACTTCAACACTAATAGTACATAGAACAGATGTTTTATAATTAGCTACTAACATGCCATATCAAAAGCATAGTCAGTAGCATGAATTTTAAAAAAAGAAAGAAAATATCTAGAACAAAAGCAGAGTCAAAATTTAAAAATCTTATATTTGAATATATGTACATATTATACGTATTTTTGCTGTAGCACAATTATAAGCTGATAAGCATATTTCTTGCCCTATCTTCAACTAACTATTGATTAGAAAGAAAAATAATGTGTAGCATGGCATAAAATATGATATTTGTTTTTCTAGAGAAGCCACAGTGAAAATTAATCAAGTACATTCATGCTTACAATGAATGATTTCCATGGCTATTAAACATGGCTTTTTAGAGGGCCAGCCAAATAGCTCAACAGATTAAAGCGCCTGCTTAGGCAGATGCAGGGGCCAGGGGTTCTATCCCCGGGCCTACCGTGCAGGTCCCACCCCCAGGGCACCCTGAGACTGGGCGTGGTGGCGCATGCCTGTAATCCCAGCACTTGGGAGGCTGTAAACAGGAGGATCACTACAAGTCCTATCTACCCAATGAGAACCTGTACACCCTGTACACCCCATCCTAAATACAAAAAAAAAAGACTTTTTAGGGATGGGGAGATAGCTCAGTGGCAAAAGCACCTACCTGACAAACAAGGTCACAAATTTGATCCCTAGTACTGAAAACAAAAAGAATGAAATTGCAAAAATGCCTTTTTAAGTTGACAACTAAACGCTATAGCTTAAATCAGTACAAATATGAAATATGCCCATTATTTATCCAGAGGATATGGATTTTCCTTACATTCTGTAGTAGAAGTAAAAAGAAAGTGAGGGTAAAATTCTGAACTCTATTTTCCATTTTTGCTTCATAAAGGAAATGTTCATGCGTTCAAGCATTCAAATAATATTTCTGTAAACGTACCGTGTGCCAGAGCTTGTGTGGTACCTATTTGACACCAGTGATTCTCAGCCCAAGCTTCAGCTTAGACTTAGTTGGTAGCTTTTAAATAATACTAATGCTTGGGCTCGTCCCCTAAACCAATTACATCAAGTATTGTACTTGCAAAATGCTTCCTAGGTAATTCTAATGGGAAACCAAGCTTGAAAATCAGTAATTACCTCTCACTCCCTAGAGTAATAGAAAAGACAGGTAAGTGAGTAGGCAATTATACTACAATGTTATAGAAAAAAAACCCACCCTTCTTCCTATGCACCTTGCCACTCTGACATATCGAACACTCATTCTTTGAAATTTTTTTAAGGATAATTTTTAAATTGTGTACTTTCACAAGGCATTTAAAGGTCTGCATGGTTTTATCATAGTTTAACCATCTCAGTTCTCATTAAGAGTTTTGGTATCGCTTTTCTGCTTCAATTTTACTTGTCCAATAGAATTTCAGGATAAGTTAAAATTCAATTTAAAAAATCACTGAGAACAATTTTGGGGGGAGAATCTATAGTATAGTAAAATATTTCAAAGAACTGTTGCTACTCTAGTGATTTTCAGTAGGATAAGCATGTAAAACTGGCCTGTCTTTTTAAATTTTTTCATATAATTGTATATCTTTGAAACCTCTTAATGCAACCTAGGAGCAGGACAAATAGAATAGTAGAATAAAACTTAATGGGGTCTAATAGGTAGGAACTTAATTAAATAAGATTTGTGGGTTGTATGGCACAGGGACACCTGTGTCTAACAGGTGACAAAGCAAAGCAAATGCTGGGGTGAGACTTTCATTGTTTCCTCTGAATTTCAAATGCACCCTTGAACAATAATTATCATCTGGGCGAGGTGGTGCCCACCTGTTATCCCAGTGCTAGGGAGGCAGAAAATGGGTGGATCACTACCAGGCCAAGTTGCGTAGTGAGACCCTGCACACAGAAAAACCTAAAAGAGATAATAATAATTAATAATAATAATAATACTAAAATATGTTTATTTTAGACAAAGGAAGACTATCTCTTGTGACAGACATACTCTTTTTTAAAAAAAAATCAACATTTTAAATAGTTATTTTTAAAATTTGAACCAGAAAGCTATTATTATTAGCCATCAGAATAATAGTGAAAGGACTGTCTCCCAACCACCAAGTTATCTGATTACAAATTTGAGAAATATCATTCTCTATTTTGTCAATCAGATATTAAATATTTGAAAACATTCATATGGTGCATTTATTCAAGGTAATCATCAATCAGCTAAAAAGATCTGTTGAATGCCATTGTGCTTTTATATGACTACACACTGGGACTTTTCAAAGGAGTCTTATTTCTTGAATAATAAGTCCAGGGCCAGGGAGATAACTCAGCAGTATAAGCGCCTGCCTGGCAACTGCAAGGTCCTGAGCCCAATCCCCAGTACCAAAATAAATAAATAAATAAATAAATCCAGATCTCTAATTTTCAAAGTTTTGAAATCTAACAACCAGAAGTGTAGAGCTTCCTGCTTAGCCCGACCTTAAGCATGAAAGATAAAATTGTATTGGCCTACGTTTGTGGTGTATTTGTACATTAATACATTCCAGGAGTGTTCACTTACAATTTTATTTTTTAAAAAATCAACTTCCCCATTACCAAATCTCTTCTAAAATGCAACAGATACAGGTAAAAAACAGCAGAAGTCTATTACTACACTATTTAAACTGATTGAGAACAATGATTACATCTTGAGTCTTTCTATGAAGTACCCCACCCTCCGTAGTTCTAACTGTCTCACCTTAGTGGATAACTGAGAGCACAGACAGGACTGAATCCTGTATGTATTGTGTTTTTCTTACACATATGTACTAGTGATATGGCTTAAGCCAGGCACCACTCATACATTAGAACAATGATAACACTCTACTGTCATAAAACACACAAAGGGGATCACTCCAAAACATCTTTTCATATTTTTAGTTTTTCATTTAAAAGAAGCACATTAAGGTTTCTTTTTGACACACCCAAATTATCACGATTCTTACACCTCAGGGCCATGATAGGGGAAAATAAAGGTTACTAAATACAAGCACTGGGATACAAGTGGATCAAGGTGGCTACTAAGATACTACTGGGCAGGCAGCGCATACCGGGAAGATGTGCTGGCTAAGAGGGTAATCCAGTCCTGGCAGCACCAAGTGGCAAGCCTTGAGATTTCATCATGACCCAGAATGGTACACAATGTAAAACATAAATTGTTTACTTTAGAAATTTTCCATCTAATAGTTTTGAACTATGACTAAAACAGAAAGTGAAACCACTGGAAAAGAAAGACTTGCTGTAATACAGGGAATTACATCAGGGTGTGGACATGCTACACAGGACTTCTACTGCTGAGCTACAGCCCAGGATGGGACTCGAATCTTGTCGCCCAGACTCCACAAATCCTGATTAAATAAATAAATAAATAATTTGACTTTCAGAAAGTGCTGAATATCAAAACTGTAGAAAACATTAAAGAAATAGTAAAGGTTTGAGGACTATGTTGAAGAACATTATATTAAAATTATATGTATTGCTGCATCTTATGCAACCAAGAATAGATTTTATACCCAAGCCATCAAAACATACAGTTGCATCTATTCCAAGAGGAATAGACTTGGCCTAGAAAATAGACATCAAGGTGCAGAGTGGCCCAGTCTTGCAAAGATTTTATGAAGCGAGCTGATAGGGAAACAGCGCATTGCTTGGCTTTCATATCTATGTGGGAAAGTTGGAATTTTACTTAGAGGAATTTATCAGTTTGGGAGAAGATCTCAATAAATAATCTTTGACGGGGAATTTAAGCATCGTAAAC